TTTGTTTAAGGTTGCCACCAGAGACTTCGTGTGCAGCTCTGCTGAAATTAAGTCTTTGTGACATTCTCCTGGTTTAATAATATACTAGTAGCTTTACACTTACAGCATGCACACTGAATCCTCCTTTTTTAAGTTGACACTCTACAGATCTACACTACTGTTTTTTCCTTCTAAAAATTGTGACTACTTCCACTTTTCCATAATTTTTAATATATTATGAACAGTGGTTCAATAAGCAAATCTCTTAAGTTCTTTTAATGTCATAAGATAGTTGTCTGTTAACAGAAGGCTTGAATGTTTGTGAAGTGTCAGAGTGCTTTTACTGTTTCCTCCATACCTGGACTAATCACATGCCTGCTGTCATCAACTACTGAGATACTATATAACAAAAAAACTTAATTCAGAGCTCTAAATCATTATGACACAAAGGTATTAATTAACTGGTAAAATTCCCATGCTACCACAGTTTTAAAATATTTTTTTGTTATCGAAGCTAATTTTTTTTGTCAGTTTCATATCTCTTGAAATTTATACCAGCTGGGGTGCCTGGGTGGCTCAGTTGGTTAAGCGACTGCCTTCGGCTCAGGTCATGATCCTGGAGTCCCGGGATCGAGTTCCACATCGGGGCTCCCTGCTCAGCAGGGAGTCTGCTTCTCCCTCTGACCCTCTTCCCTCTCGTGCTCTCTATCTCTCATTCTCTCTCTGTCAAATAAATAAATAAAATCTTTAAAAAAAAAGGAAATTTATACCAACTGAAGAATAAGAAGCCCTGATATGTGGCTTTTAGTGGAAGAAATGAACAAAAAAACCTGCTTTATTACTTGCTATTAAAATTGGCTGGAATTCAAAATGATAGAAGCACAATTGGAGGGTTTTGACTATAGTGTTCACATTTTTCTATTATAAATTTGGTTATAGTTTTCCACAGACACAACATTTGTATAAAGAACTCTGGGGTAGGCTATTTCCGTCCATGAGAATCCAAAATTATAGACACTGATGTCAATGCAGATGAGGTTAGCCTAATTTGGTCAAGGGAAGGACATGCTGAGTATATGGATAGCTAAAGGCTATTGCCAAGATTGACAGGTGTCCTGTGGGTGGCAAAGAGCCCCAGGAATAAAATTTGCACTTGGATTACTTCTCTAAAACACAATGATCAAAGTCATGTCTTTTCTTTCTATTGATCACAGTTTTAAAATAATGAGGTCTGCTTTTAATACTTTCATTTTTCAGATATTAGTTTTATTAGCCCCAGAAAGGTAAAAAGTTTTGTGCTTTCTTCTTAAAGTATCAAATTCTGTTTTTAAAAATTTAGTTGTATCCTGGGCACTAATTTTTCTAGTATAGTCTGTTTTTTTTTTTTTTTTAAGATTGTATTTATTTTTATTTATTTGACACAGAGACAGAGATAGTGAGAGAGCACAAGCAGGGGGAGCGGCAGGCAGGCAGTGGGAGAGGGAGAAGCAGGCTCCCTGCTGAGCAAGGAGCCCGATGCGGGGCTCGATCCCAGGACCCTGGGATCATGACCTGTGCCAAAGGCAGCCGCTTAACCAACTGAGCCACCCAGGTGCCACTACTATAGTCTGATTTTTTTTTGTTACTCTGCCATGTTTCACTAGGCGGAGGTGAGAAAAGTTAATGTAAAAGGATACATTTGTTATTAGTGTAAAAGACACTGCTCTTTATGGAATAATAAGTTACATGATTCAAGCTGGAAAGATTAATTTTTAGGAGAATTTTCTATGAAGTAAATATAATGGAGTATTCGTACTAATTTGATAACAGCTTTTGCTTTTATTTCATCTTATTGAAATATTTTTATTATTAAAGGAAGTCCTTGCAAATGATACACATAAATTAGTGGTAAATATTTCATATCTCAAAATAAGAAAAAAAATTTAAAGCTATTAGGTCCATGCCATTAAGAAAGTTAAGTGTACTGTTGAGATTTTTGTAAGATTTGAGTGATGTGCATACATCATTAGCAATGATCTATGGGGTTTTTTAGGCATAAATTCAATAGCTATTTCTATTCAAATAGAGAATTTTCTAATTTTCTAATCTGGGAGGATCGTGTCTTGATTTTCTCTGTATTTCACTGTCAGAGTACAAATTCAAGAAGATGTTGGAGAAACCACTTAAGGGAGCCAACCTGTTCACCAGTGTGAAAAATGAAAGTCAAGACCCTCACTCTCCTAGGGCTCAGAAAAGATTTCTGAGGGCCCTAGGCAAGCACAGTGTAAATTCCCTTTACGGACCATTGTGATTTCAGTGAAGTCTATTGTTGGGTTGAAGCTGGAGTGATTTGTTCAGTATCATTTTTAAGTCTTAAATATTTAATTCTGATTTGGCTAAAATTTATTGAGAGCCTACTATGAGCAAGGTATTCTTGTATAGAGGTTATCTAAGCCCTGTGAAGGCGAGGAAAATAAGGCCCAGCAAAGTGGTAACTTGCCCAGGGTCACTCAGCTCTTGGCAGTAAAGCTGTGAGATAACCCCAGGCTCTTGTCTCTAAACCCAGTAGAGTTTTGAGGTTACAGAAATAAATTCAACAGGGCACCTGGGTGGCTCAGTCGGTTAAGCAACTGCCTTCGGCTCAGGTCATGATCCTGGAGTCCGGGGATCGAGTCCTGCATCGGGCTCCCTGCTCGTCAGGGAGTCTGCTTCTCCCTCTGACCCTCCCCCCCTCATGCACTCTCTCTCTGTCTCTCATTCTCTCTCTCAAATAAATAAATAAAATCTTTTAAAAAAAAATAAATTCAACAGAAATTCGCTTAAATGAGAGAACTTTTAGGACTGCCTTTCTTATGTCTTTTTTCTTTTCTTAATTCTTTGTCTCAATTCTGATTATTTCCTGATCAATCCTTCCTTTTTAGACTAAATGAAAGTGCAGATTCTTGAGCTCATCTTTAATCAAAAAGACTTTTATAAAAATATTTACTCTACCAAAAACAGCAATCTTATATTTGCATCTCAGAATTTGACTCCTTAAGCAGCTGATTGGAAAGGAAGTGTGAAAATGAGAAGTCTTTCTGGGCTGAGCATCATGGTAATGGGCTAATTCGGAGTGTGTAGCATGGGCTAGAGCAGTGAATAGCGACCTCAAGCCCGTGTTAGCCCCTGGCCCAGGCCGCACGGCCCCTCTCCCATGGCCACCAGCATTGCTCCTGAGACTTGGGCTGATACGCATTCTGCTGCTTGGTCCTATTCCTGGGCATCCCTTCAGTTTAGTTACTGGAGCTCTACTAGAATACAGAGAATAATGAAAGACCCTGACAATCTCCTGTCACACCTAGTTTCCTGACAAAAAAGTCTCCGTTTGTGCAAGGATTGCATTACAGCTTGTTGCTTCAGTAGCAGGAAGAGATATACATAATGTATAAGGTAGAGTGAGAAATTTATGACCATGTGTTATGAACGGTTTCAATTTAGGAAAATTTTGATTTAGATCTGCTAATTTAATTTATGCTGCTTTTTGACAGGTCTAAAATTAACTTTAAAATTTAAATAAACTTCTTTGTACTGAGGATTGGATCATGAAAATAGCATTACGTTAGTATTTGACCTGTTGGGCTATTTCAAATACTTTAGAACTATCCTTTGTGGACTGTTGCCACGCAGATGCCTCTGTCTTGTCATGGACTGCAGTCTGTGACAGTCCTGTTATGTCCTATTTCTCCAGCCAGCCCCCGCTCTTCATCTCTAGCACTCCGCGCAGGCTCTTCGCCCCTCTCCTGGACCTCTGCAGTGGCCAACTGAACTGCCCGTCCAGCTCCCACCCCACACAGCTGTCCTTGACCAGAACCTGCGTAAGTTCTTTAGGTTGGGATTAGGTGTTAGGATGAAGGTAAAACACCTTCGCACGGCCTCCACTTTGACTCACCCTGCTTTCCAGCCTCCCCTGTCTTCCTGTCTCTTCCTTCCTTGCTTTGTTTCGTAGCTGCTTGGGCATCATGCGTTGTCCTGTCTGCCCCGATCATTCTTCCTGTCCGTCTTCATGTGCTTGCCCCTTCGTTTCAGGAACTGTGGGAAGAAGTCCCGCTCCTCTGCATTAGGTCAGATCCAGACTGTGTTGGCAGTTCTTATCCCCACTTCACTGTACTTGTTTGTTACAGTTGCAATTTTATATTTATGTTTGTAGACTTCAGTTAAAGTAGCCTCTAAGCTTCACAAGGGCAGGAGCCATTTCTGTTTTCACTGGAGGATTGTGCCCCTGGCATCGAGCACAGGGCCTGGTACATAGTAGAAGCTTAACAAATATTTGCAGAATACTTGAATGAAAGTTTCATGAAAGACTTTCTCAGGGTTACTGCCTGCAGCCTGCTGGCTGCTGTGAGGTCACGAAGGTGGATGAATGTAGGCACACTTTGCCATAAGAGAGTTCACTCACCAGCCAAGAGAAGAAGGTGACATGTATCAAAAATATTGTAATATAAGCTAGATGGCCACTAGGACTTAGAAATAATATACTTTTAATTGTCTGAAAATGCACCTTTAGACTGGCCTTTGCCAGTAAATCTAAAATGAGCGAATTACAGTGTTAAATAGGGCAGACGGTATTTATGAATGGCTCTAGCATTCATAAAGTAATCCTAGCCCTAGAAGAAATAAAAAGCTGAACCCATTCAGTATTAAAAGTTGAAAAGATAGAATAAAATGCATTCATATTTTTAAGTGCCAGGACGTTATACCTGTGAAGATGGTCTGTGTGAAAGAAATGAGGAAATTTTGTGTATTGCCAAACATTTTTTGAAAGTTCTGTCAAAGCACTCTGTTAGTATTAAGCTGTAGAAGTGTTTGGGGCTAGTGTGGGACCTTTCTTGTGTCTATTTTGTGAGACTGTTAGGTCAGGCCTCACTAAGGTTTTTTTTTCCTTTCCTCTTCCAACATTACTTAGGCTGCTCTACCCCAACCCTGGGGTTGTGGCCTTAAGCACACGCTGAGGAGGAAGGCTGCCTGGCTGCGCATTCTCAGAGGAGTCAGGTGATCTGGTTTGAAGGCAGCTGCTTGAGGTTCCAGGCAGTCGGTGTCCCCTCTCTTCTGCCTCGGGACAGCTGGTTATTATCAAACTCGTAACAAGTCTTCCTTGCTTATTGCCTGCTGGGAGAGGAGGGAGATTATGCAGTGGGCTTTTGATTTATCCAATGGGAATTACATTGATCTGGTGTCTGGCTGTGGTTCTTCTCAAGTGGATCGCCTCTAAGGTAGGCCATCTTTATTTTTAGGATTGTGACATTAATCATCAGTTTATGTATTTGGTTGGAATAGAATTGCTAGGAGTTTCTTCTTTGGCTTCAGTTTTTCTCTGATTAAGAGAGCTATTCGAGTTTTACCTGTCACCTGAAAAGCTTAATTGTAGTTAAGCGTGGGCTTTTTATTCTTTTCCCACCTGATTCCTCCTTTCAAGGGCTTTTCAGGGTATCATTCCTCAGTGTCAGAGTAGCTTCCCTCAGTATCATTCCCTTAAAGAAGTTTGTGATTAGAGAAATACACCTTTTAAGATTAAATAATTATTAACTTACGCTTTTGGTGTACATATTTTAAATATTCTCTTTGGAGATAAAAATTTACTTATGTTAACTGTATAGTTGAGAATTTCTAAACAGTTACAAACTTTTTAAAAACGAAATACTACCCTCTATCATGTTCTCTGTTAAAGTCTTGCTGCTACTAAAATGTATACCTTACTTATAATGTGTTGGAAAAAATGTAAGATTATTATGTATCTGTTGTTTTTGAACTTTAATTCTGAGTATCCCGCTTGAGAAATGCTGGCTAGAATGCTAGCCATTTGCCATCTGGAAAAAAGTCTAAAACTAATGTAGGAAATATTTAAGATGATACTATGTGAAATTATTTTTTCTATACTTGTATAAAAATGATTATATCTTTCATCCATCAGCAGCTTTTTTTCTTCCTGTATTAAGAAATTGAAGAATATTAACTTAAAATTTATAAGGCCATCAGTATTTGCAAAGGAACCTAAAGCTTCCATAAAGTTAAGTTTCTTTTTCAAGCAAGGTTTTAATCCTTGGTACATAATTTTTCACATACTGTTTTAAACATAATGGTCCCTTATTGAAGTAGTCTTGATTTCTTAGCGACTATGATTGAAGAAGTCTCTTAAAGAAAAACAGTGTGCTCAAATTTTTAAAATCCTTGTGTTTTATAAGTTAAGAATTAATTTTGTTGCACTGACAGCTATTTACTCATTGTTTTTAAAGGATTAGCTCACCAGGTTATTGAATGAAGGTCAAGTTAACAGTAATTCATTGAGTTGTGGATGGTTTTAGAGACTTTTTACTTTTTTTCTAACCAGCAAAAAAAAAAAATTTTTTTAAGCGAGAGAGCAAGAGCAGGGGGCAAGGGGGACACGGTGGGTACGGGCAGAGGGTGAGAGAGAATCTCAAGCAGGCTCCACGCCCAATGCTGAGCCAGACACGGGGCTTGATCTCATAGCTCTGAGATCATGACCTGAGCCAAAATCAAGAGTCGGATGCTTAACTGACTGAGCCACCCAGGTGCCCCCAAAATTAAGCTTTTAAACAAAAAGAATGTTAATATTTTAAGTTTGCGATATTTTTGAAAAATATATTGTTTTCATAGGCAAGAAGAATGGAAGGAGACTGTTCAGTGGATCAATGCAGGGTTATAATAGACAAACATCAGCATGTTTCTCTAGCATGTGCAAGATGAATATACTCTGAAAAAGCTTTTTACTTTTTATTTACTTTTTACTACATCAGAGAAAACTGCTTTTAAAACTTTGGCTGCATAGCCATCTTTTGTAATCTGTTACTGTTGTTTGGTAATGTTACCAAAAAATTTATTTAGTACTACTGTGGTTAAGCCCTTTGACCATCAGTTTACTAAACCACCAAATGGGGCCAACAATACCTATCTTGTAAAGGTCTTTGTATGGGTTAAATGAGATTTTATATGAAAGCACCTGTAACGTTTTCTGACACAAAGTAGGAGTTCAGCAAGTATTAATGTATTATTACTTTTCCCATGTAAGGGAAATAAACATGCTTTTGCACAGTAGATCATTTTAGTGGAAAACTTGAACAAGATACAGACAATGGCACTTAAAATATCTTTGCTCAGTTTTTAAAAATGTTTGTCTTTAAAAGTTTCGTATTAACTAATAACAACTTTTACACCTTTTGTCACTCACTTTGTAAGTGAGATCTTGTGTGGCAGAGTGATTCATCCTGATAGAAGGTGAGTGTCTTACCAGGGCACTTAGAAGTCCTGTTAGCGTGGCAGTGGATCCTTTGGAACCTTACAGTTTAACTTGTTTATGCTGCGGCTGTCAGTTTCTGATTAGCTCAGCCACACCCATGTTTTGACCTATACTAGTTTGCTTTACAAGCTGTTCCCAGGATGGCTAAATTAGAAGAGTCACGGGTAGAGGCGTCTCAGTTCTTTCCATTCAGTGGTGAGGTGAGGTGGGGATGTGGATGGTAGCACAAAGTGTTTTGTGACTAACTGCGACACAGGATTGTCATTAAATTCATTTTACTCTTTTAATAAAAACAGGATTTTTACTAGTATTTGGCTTTTAAGATGGTAATCTTTAAAAAAGGTGTGTTAAGTCTATGCTGTAGTGTTGGTGTATAAAGCACATATGACCTTGGTTTAAAGTAACTAATTCTAACATTTCAATCAGATTGTTACAATTCATAATTTATAGTGTATTTTTCCAAAATGAGTTACTTTAGGTTGTTCTACCACGATTGTTTAGTGGGAGAATTTAATAATATTCATTTTAATCTTGGTCTGTGAGGAGATAAATGAGGTATCACTCGGGATATATTCGTTGATGGGCTCAGATAGATCTATTTTAAAGTCCATCCTTTAAAAAAAATTGTCTCATTTAGATTTATTTTATAAGAGTTATGTCTTGTGGTTTAATATAGCTTTTAAACTAAGTTATGTGTGGACCAGACTTACTTAAACTAGTAATGAATAGAATAACTTGAATAAGTTGTACTTCAGTAATTTGTTAATATATTTAAAATAAATTCTAGTCTTTTGCCAGGTTTTTATTATGATTGATGTAGACCCTATCATTTTTAGATCTAAATTAATGCCTCTATAAATAAGTCTAAAGGGATTACCTTAAAATAAATTTAGTATGTTATAGTTATAATCTAGATTATGTTCACTAACAAGTTTTTGATTTATACTATTTAACAGAGAGCTGATATTAGTCTTTCTCAGTCCTTAATATGTGAAGTGATAAATGAGATTTTACATTCCTAATTAATGGCTGTTTTAGTAAATAGTCATCCTACATTAAAAAAATAAGGTCAATCACTCTCTTAAAGAGGGCTATTAGAGATGGCAAGTCATAATTCGTTTTCACAACCTATTTATCCAAGTTGTTACTGGGCACTAGCAGGTTGATAGGTATTGACAAGGACAAGCTATTACACAGTGATATCTTTAGCTTCACTAATATGTCTTGGCTGACAGTAATATTTATTTCCACATATATGCTCTCCAGGCTCCTAGGTTTTCCTCTAATACGGTGGTATTAAGGGGAGGTCTGTAATCTAATAAGAGGGGCTCAAACAGCAGGCGCGAGAGGTGCCTTTTAATACCAAGTGATTACACTGGCTCTTTGCTCCAAAATAAATAGTTTACCCTGAAACTGTTTTGGTTTACACTGCAGTAGGCTTCCTTGGGAGAGATAGTCTGTTGGTAGAAGACACTATAAGCGTGATGCTGCCAGGAATGTAGTCTGTATGATTTAGTCCCTTGGGATTTGAGATCATGCTTTTCTTTATAGATTTCTTTGTAGTAGATTCTCATTTTACTTTTTAATTTTAATTTGGTTTATTTTGCAACAGATAATAACTACACATACTACAAAATTCAAAGGATAAACACTGAAAAGTCCTCCTCCTACCTCTGTGTCCCTCGGGCTCCCTGGAGACAACTGGTGTTGAAAATCAGAATTTTATTTTTGTTTGAACTTCTGTTCCTTTTACATTTCCTGAACTGTTGTTTTTTTTGTTTTTGTAAGGATACATGAAATTATGTAAGAGTGTAATTGACCTTTGTCTCTTACATGATAAGCATTAAGGAGATAATAACAATGATTTGGGGAGTTATTTTGCAAACTACATTCAAATAAGGATTTTAAATAAAGTAAATTTCTTTATAGTGATCATTTTTCCTTGAGATTTCTAGGTGTATGTTGAGGAATCGTAAATCTCATGGCAGAGTTTTTTGAGGGAAGAAGATCATTAATCTGACATATAAAAATATCTCATTGCTTTAATGTTTATTTCTTTTGTTAATGAAGTTGAGCATCTTGTCTTGTGTTTATGGGCTTATTGTTTCTTTTCCTGTGGATAGTATGTTTATGTCCTACCTGTTTTTCTACACTCTAACTCATCATTTTCTAACTGATTTGTAAGGCACTTTTTCTTCCTTTCATTTTTAGGTAGAGTAGGGGGAAATTCACCCATTGTCCTATCTGTTGAACTCATGTTGATCCATCTTTCATGACTTCTAGACATGTTTTATAGAACAGTTAGAAAGGCCTTTCTAATAGGAGGTTTGGTCAATTTCATCTTCTAGATTTTTAAATCTGTCTTTATATCAGTTCTGTTATTCATGAGTTTATTCATCAACTTAATAAACTATTCACTAATTTATTTGCAATAAATCTACTCAGTCACTTGTTTACCAAATATTTATTTAGAATCTACTAAAAGCTACTGTTTTAGGGGCCAGGGCTACGGTGGTAAATAAGACACACAGTTCCTGCTCTTATGGAGCTTCTATTTTAGAACAAGCAAACAAGATAATGCTAGCTAAGTGCCATAACAGATCAGGAAGGTAGGGCTGTGGGAGAGGGTGGCTCTCAGAAGACATTAGATTTGGTAGCCTTGGAATGCCTCAATGAAGAGATGACATTTCATCTAGAACCGGAGAGATAAGAAGGAACAGTGATGCAGTGATCCTGGACAGGGGAACAATTATAAAGGCTGCACCCATGGTACAGCTGAGGAAAGCAAGGAGGCCAGTGTGGCTGGGTGGTGGTGGTGAGGACAGGGTAGGGGGACAGATCATGGAGGCCTCTGGAAATCAGAGCTTGGTGTTGGGCCTTATCCCAAGTGTGTGGAAAGCCACTGGAGGATTTTGAGCAGTAGCCGAGTTGTTCACTGTTGCTTCTATGTGAAGAGCGGACTGGGGGCCATGAGATGCAGCAGGAAGCAGCCAGCAGACCCCTGCAAGAGGCCAGCTTAGAGGTGGTGGTGCCCGAGACAGAAGGAAGAAGTGGAGCTAGAGAATGGGAGGGGAGTGTGAAGGTAGAGTTGGCAGAACTTGCGGAGGGTATTTCAGCTCTTCAAATTTATTTTGTTTTAGGATGTATATTTTAAATTTGTAACATTTGTTATTTTTATAATAGCTTTATTGAAATACAATTCAGATACCATACAATTTACCCATTTAAAGTATATAATTCAGTAATTCTTAGTCGTAGTCACAGAGTTGTGCAGTCCTTGCCGCAGATAATTTGAGAACACTTTCATCCCTTGTAGATAGAAACGCAGTACCATTAGCATCCACTCCCCATTTCTCACCAGCTCTCCCCACTCTAGACAACCACCAGTCTACTTTCTGCCTTTATGGATTTGCCTATTTGGGACATTTCCTATCAATGGAACCATACACTGTATGGTCCTTTGTGACTGGCTCTTTTCACTCAACACACTGTTCTTGAGGTTCAGTCATGTTGTAGATGCATCAGTACTTCATAACTTTTAAAGTCTGAATAACGCTTTGTTGTATGGATATACTTGATTTGTATTAATCCATTCATTCGTTGCTGGATATTCGGGTTGTTTTTAGTTTGGGGCTATTATGAATAATGTTTTATATCTGTTTACTTTTAAGCACAAAATATATTTTAAAACTTCTTTTTCAGTGGTACCCTGTTTTTTGTTTTATAGATTCAGTGTCATCTCAAATCTCTTTGAGTATCCTAATTATATTTTTAAAAATTCTTTCATTTCTTGCTAGCCTCTGAGCCATTTGGTTTTTCATTTTGTTCCATTTATTTCTAGCCTGATGGGTTTCTTCAAATGATGATTCTTGTTTGATTATTCTTTCATGTTTAAGTTAAGGGAATGGTAAATAGTTGGACCGTATCTCTTCTCCACTTCTGTCTACCTCTGCGAAAGGTCTCTCCACAAGTGAGCTTGTCTGACTCTGACATTAACTTTCTACCTATTGCATGTTGCGTACTCTGTATCCACTTATATCATATTGCTTCATCATATTATAACTGTCTCCTTCACAACTAGAGATTTTAAGAGCAGATGTCATATCTAATTTCATTTTGTATATTCAACTTTTGCACAATAAATAATAAATGTTGGTTAAATTTCATATCCCATGTAATTGCCATGCATTAAAAATGTGTGTATGTTTTTTTCTAGAGGCGTGGAGCTATTTCCTATGACAGTTCTGACCAGACTGCATTGTACATTCGTATGCTAGGTAAGCAGTCTTTATTTTGTACCAATATCCATTAATTTTGTTACCGTGTAATGTTACTTGAGATTGAGGTAGTTTTCATTCGGTTGCTTTTCATCACTGTTTACAATAGAAATATCTATTATTTTGAGGTTTAAAAGTCTTGAAACCAATATTGAATGTTATGTGAATAAAGAGAGGCCTTTTAGAGTACTTGAGAAATCTCTGATTTAATAACTGGGACTCTATCATGAGTACACAATTTTAAATTGAACTAGAGTATTCTTCATAAAAAGGGGTCCTGATCACATAGTCCTGCCATTGCATGTATTCTCTTCTCGCTTGGCTGGCGAGGAAGACCGTTGGTCTTCTCCCAGTCTCAGTTCTTAAATTTTTCGTGTATTACTCAAGTCCATAAAGTAAAATGAATTTAGATTGTGTATTTATGTATCATTGTTTTCTCTCTTCGCCAGAATTCTCTCCTCATCACACACTCCTTGATCCCTTGTACTTTAATTCATACTATTAGAAATGTACAATTAAGATTTACTGGAATCTTGCAGATTTACTTGTCTTTTCTTAAAGGAATGTTCTGTGACTCCTCTCCTCATGCTCAGAATTCCTCCCTCAACTTCTAAGATAATTGAGCCATCCATATTCTTCACCTTTCTCTGGGTTTTTTGTTTTTGCCCCTTTGACTAATTCTTTCCCATCCTCTTAAGCCTAAGTGTTCTCCAGTGCCCTGTTTTTGCTTTTCTTCCTTTTTTCCCACTTTTTTTTTTAATTTATTTATTTGACAGAGAGAGACACAGCAAGAGAGGGAACACAAGCAGGGGGAGTGGGAGAGGGAGAAGCAGGCTTCCCGCCGAGCAGGGAGCCCGATGCGGGGCTCGATCCCAGGACCCTGGGATCATGACCTGAGCCGAAGGCAGACGCTTAACGACTGAGCCACCCAGGCGCCCACTTTTTTCCCTCTTTAATTTAACCTTGTGTGACTGCCTCAACTCCATTCTACTGTTATATGTATTTTTTCCTCACTAATGTGTGGTCTTTTCCTCTTTACTGTCTCTGTCTCTCTACAAACACGTTTGGGATTCTGCTTTCCTGAAAACAACTTTATACTCCTATTTTTTTTTTTTTTTTTAAACTCTGTAGAACATCTCCACATGAGTGTATTGTGGGTACCTGACATTTAATTGAGCAGAGGCACATAGGTAGAGTCAGGGGAGACTAGCTCAGGAGCGAGAGCAAGAACAAAACATTTGTGTTCCCAAGTCTGTTCATTTTTCAGTCTTAGGCCATCTCAGCACATGACTCCCATTTTTCTGGTTGTCAGATCAGAAGCCCTTCAGTCATTTTTGACTCTTATTTCTTATCCACTTCATGTCTACTTCATCAGCAAATCCTCTTGGCTGATACCTTCAAAGTATATCCAGAATTTCACCACCCTGATGCTGTTACCATCGCAATCTGAGTCATAGTTATTTTTTATTGTTAATTATAGTCATATTGTTGTACATTAGATCTGCAGACCTTACCCTGCATAACTGACACATGGTTCCCCTTGAACAGCATCTCCCCATAGCCAACCCCCACCAACCCATAGATTGCCTCATTTCTTACACACCCTCCTTAGCTAGTCTCCCTGCCTCTACCTATGTGCCTCCACTTGATTCCAGTTTATGTGGCCAAAGTGAACCTTTTGAGACCTAAGTTAAATCAGTCTCACTCCTCCATTCAGAATCTTCTGATAGTTTTCCTAGATGAACAGCCAGAGCTATTATGATGGCCCACAAAGGTCCAGCATGAACTGGCCCTACCACCTCTCTGACTTCACTTCTCCCTCACCTCAGTCCAGCCGTGCTGGCCTCTTTGCTTGACCTTGAACATGCCAAGCATGCCTCCCATCTCAGGGTATTTTATTTATTCTTTCTTATGCCTGGAAACCTCTTCCTCCAGATAGCCACATGGCTCACTGCTTCACTTCTTTCAGGCCTTTCCTCAAATACCTTTTTTTTCAATGAGGACTTCTCTGACCACCCTAGTGAGTCCATTCTCCCCTACTTCTGCCCCCCCCCCCGCCCCTGCCGTTCTTCTCTCCTTGCTTTAGTTTTTTCCAGGTTACTTACTACCATCTTCTGTAGAATGAAATTCTTATTTGTCACATTATTTGTCTCCATGAAAGGATAAGCTTCATGAAGACGGGGACTTTATGTGTTTTGCTCACTGCTGTATTTGCAGTGCCTGACGTGTGGTGGGTGTTCAGTAAGAATTTGTTGCAGGGTGAAGGAATCGCCACATGAGAGAGTTGATTAATCACTATGGGATGACACGAACCTTGAAGGAAATGATGGCCTTACTTAGAGAAACGAGTGAGCAGGAAGTACTTCTAGGCAAGCAGAATTCAAGGGCACGGGCAGGGATGAAGACCTAAAGGTTATGAAATTGGAGGCTATGGAAGTATAGTGGGGAAAGTGCTGTCTTTGGAGTCCACAGAGTAGGTTTGTATCCTGACTCACCCTTTACTAGCTTTTTTTTTTTTTTTTTAAGGATTCTATTTATTCATTTGACACACAGAGAGAGAGAGTGAGCACAAGCAGGGGGAGTGGCAGGCAGAGGGAGAAGCAGGCTCTCCCCAGAGAAGGGACAGCCCGATGTGGGACTTGATCCCAGGACTCCAGGATCATAACCTGAGCCGAAGGGAGTTGTCTAACCAACTGAGCCACTCAGGCGCCCACCATTTACTAGCTTTATGGCATGGGCAGGCTACTTCTCAAAGTCTCAGTTTCTTCATCTGTAACGGGGACTAAGATTCCTACTTCCCAGAGTTGCTTAGAGAATTAAATAAAATGGTGCCTATAAGGCACAAAAAGAGTGTCTGGTACATGCTTCCAGTGGTTATTTTGCTGTGTGGAGAAGTAGATCTGAAATTCAAATAAATACATGTAGAAGAAACAATACTGAGCTTATACAGGCCAGAGTTTAAGACCCAACTAAAGACCTTGGGTATATGTCCAATATCAATGAGAAAAGAGAAAATTGATCAAATTAAACATTTAAGGCAAAATCTTTAACATTTTTTCTGTACATTCATAAAATTTTAAGGTGCTTAAGAATGGGTCATGTATTTTCTTTCATATCTCTTATAGTCTAGTATGGTGGTGGGCAAGGGGTAGACATTTAATATTTTTCTCTCTGGATTTTTAGAGTTTTGTGCTGAGGATTTTTTTTTAACTCCATGTGAATAATAAGATAATTAGGTTCAACTGTCATATACTTGTCATGTTTCCGAATGCTAACTTTAAAATTTATATTGTAATTATTATTATTATTATTATAGAGGTAGATTAAAAAAAGAAGTCCCTGTAGCAGTACAATTCAATATTGAAAATTTGTAAATCCTTTTAAATAGATCAGCTGTTAACTACTTACTCCATAAGTACTTAGTGGGCCAGTACTTATGAGTATGTTACCACATAAACCTTTGTTGCATATGGGAGCTTCTTCCCAAAATGGCAGCCTTCTAAGTTTATTTTTTCTTGATTTTGTCCAGGAGATGTACGTGTAAGGAGTCGAGCAGGATTTGAATCAGAAAGAAGAGGTTCTCATCCATATATTGATTTTCGTATTTTTCATGGTAAGTGTTGGCATATACAGTATTTCTCTTAGGCTTTCAGTAAACTTCAGATTTTCATAAAATTATGTAATTTTTCAAAGGAAAAAAAAGTTATGTTTGGAATGTTTTAAAAAACATTGGGTCATGATAAATGACACTTTATTTCTAGATAATGTTAGTAAATGCTTAGAGACAATTAGAATTGTAAAGTATAAAATATGAAACCTGATATAGTTTTTCTTCTCCTTTCCAACTTAAATGTGAAATTACTTTGGTACATTTTTTTCTTCTTGAAATGTGTGTGTGTATAATGTTTGAAGTTGTTTTATTCCATATGTTTTGTCTTCACTACTCTAGATAAAATGTTTTTGTGCAAATGACATTTTATAAGGTATTTTCATAGTTAACAGGGTGTATCCTGGTTTATTTGAAAATACACTGCCACCTTTAAAGATGTTTCATAGAATGCATATTTTGAAAACAAACATTGTGTGGGTCTGGCCCACAATGGAGAAAATGGAAAAAACAGAACTTCTAAAACCCTTAAATAGTAAACACATTATCTGTTTTTGGAGGAGCTCCACTTTTGGAAATGTTGGATAAATTATTTGCATTAACACTCCATTTAAAAGAAAAAAAAACAAGAAAAACTGGACCCAAAATATGGAAGACATGTATTTGAGTATATCAGAATGCTGTTAAGGCAGAGATGAATCTGGCATTTGGGCTACTTTCCCCCTTAGTAGCATCTGGCAATTCTGGGAAAGGTGGATGAGAAGCTGAGCAGAGTTTCTTATGGACACTTAAGGCTAAAAAAACAAAAACAGCTGTTGATATCCCACCAAGGTTGGGGCATTGGTCCTGGTAAACCCTCTGTGCTCCATTTGGAACCCCAAAGTACTGTACCTTAGAAATAAATCCCAGCTATGAAATGTCTCAATCAGTAATTAGATCAAGGTTATCTGTGACTTCAGTACCTCTAGCCACCTACTTGAAGTAAATGTTAATCCTCACTGAAGGAACGTAACATTACCCCGAGTCTCAAATTACCTCTAAATTTTTCATATGCGATATCAAGCACTGGATTAAAAAAGACAAAAGGAGATAAGACAGTGTGATGAAAAATGAAAAGGAAACAACAGTAGAAACATCCATAGGAAATTCTAATGATGGAATTCTTTTACATGAGCTTCAAAATAAACATAATTTGCTGATGGGGAAAAAAGACCTGATTAAGAATTTCAGTAGAGGACTGCAAATTGTGAAGAAAAAAAAATCAAATGGAAATTTAAGACTGAAAAATAACATACCTTAAATAAGAACTCACTGGAGATGGTGTGAACAGCAAATAAGACCAAAATGCAGAGAGAATCAGTGGATTGGGATATTAGGTCAGAAGGAAATAATTTAGAATGAAATACAAGCAAAAGATAGAAAATACAGAAAAGACATATGGAATATGTTGTAGTTGTCGATTGTATCTGTCAAGAATCGTGAAGAATCTTAAGATTTTACCTTATAAGTTAACAAATAAATTAGCCTGTAATTGCTGGCAGAAGACACAAGACTACTAGGTCAGAGACAAATGACTTTATTATTCATGGCATAGCAAGCAACATGAACATTATATTATGTCAGTTCTTTTAGGCCCAGCACATCCTGCAGTGGCAACATGGAGGGTTTTATGTGGATACTGTGCACACAGTGAATTTGCATTTACCTCCTTGAACTTGGGGAATATACCCCTTTTACAGTAGTACTGCTCTTTGTCCCAGAAAAAGATGTTACTTATCCCTCAGGGTTGCTAGCTGCAAACACAAGAAATGGCCTGGATAAGGATCTGGTCAGGGCTTGGGATTCTTGTCACACCCAGCAAGAATGTGCAGGGACACTCAAGAGTGTCCTCTGTGGAGGATTACTGCTCCCAGTAGTAACAAATGACTCCAAACTTACTGGCATAAAACAGCTTTTTTTTTTTTTTTTTTATGTTCGTGATTCTGAGGGTCGGGAATTTAGTCAGCATACCCGCTTGGATTTGTCTGTGTTCCACAATGTTTTGATCTTCAACTAGGGTAGTTCAAACAGCTACAGATAGCTGGGATGGCTCCACGCGGTCCGTATATCTGGGGCCTTGTTTTTTCTCCACATGTCCTCTCCTGGGGCTGGAACATCTAAGATGACTTCTGCACCCTTATATCTGCTGCCAGGGTAGGGTGGCTGGAATTTCTGGGGCTGGCCAGCGTTTCTTTCTTTCCATAAATGGCAGTGTCACTGGAGTTGGACCTCTTCCATGACAGCTGCTGTCTTGCCCCAGAGCAAGCATTCCGAGAGAGAGGAAGTATGGGAACACCTGGAACCTGACGATATGAGCATGGACACTGGCGCAACATCACATTTTCATATTCTTTTTGTCAGCCGTGTCACACAGCTTGCCCAGACGCATGCATAGGGGACATAGATCCCACTTGTCAAAGGGAGTAAGGTCAAAAAAAATGTTAATCTTCTATCCTTAATCTGGCACCAAATGTGTTGAAAAGGTCTTTAGGGTCCCAGGAAAGGAATGGGAAATTAGAGTAGAAGTAGTCTTTGAAAAGATGATGACCGGGCGCCTGGGTGGCTCAGTTGGTTAAGCGACTGCCTTCGGCTCAGGTCATGATCCTGGAGTCCCGGGACCGAGTCCCACATCGGGCTCCCTGCTCAGCAGGGAATCTGCTTCTCCCTCTGACCCTCTTCCCTCTCGTGCTCTCTCTCATTCTCTCTCTCTCTCAAATAAATAAATAAAATCTTAAAAAAAAAAAAAAAGATGGTGACCAAGTTATCTCTAAAGCTTGATAAAGTACATTAAGGTACAGATTCAAGAAAGATTATGAATCTTAAATACAGTAACATTAAAAGAAAATCACAGTGTATTAGCATCGTATAACTGAAAACCAAAATCAAAGAGAAATGCTTTCACTCATATGTGGAATTTAAGAAACAAAACAAATGAACAAAGGGGGAAAAAAAAAGAGGGAGCAAACCAAGAAACAGACTCTTCTTAACTATAGAGAACAAACTGATGGTTACCAGAGGGGAGGTGGGATTGGGGCGATGGGTGAAATAGAAGATGGGGATTAAGGAGTGCACTTGTTGTCATGAGCACCGGATGATGTATCAAAGTGTTGATTCACCATATTGTACACCTGAAACTAATATTACACTGTATGTTAACTAATGAATTTAAATAAAAACTTAAAAACATATATATGGGACATTTTAAACCTGAGAATAAGCTCTTTTTCCAAAATGGGAAAGTAAAATAAATAAATAAGTTAAAAAAAAAAGGTAGTGAGAAGGAAGAAAAAGTAGTGAGAGAGAAAGAAAATCATTACCTTCAAAGGAACAGCTATGAGATTGCCAGAAACAGATTCTGCTTCATTTTCAACAGAAACTAAGAAGCTAGAAGACAAAGGAAAGATAGCTTCAGAGTGATGGAAAAAAATAAATGTCAAACTAAAATTTCACCCACAAACCAACTCTTCTAGAGAGTAAAAGGACATACTTCATAACGTATTATGTAAAGCCAGCATAATCTTGATACTAAAACCCGACAAGGATATGACAAGAATAGGAAATTATAGCTACTATCACTCACAAATATAGATGAAACATTCTGAGTAACATACTATCAAATTAAATCTGCAGTTTATAGGAAAAAATATATTTGACCCAATTTGTATTTTCCCGGAAATATAAGGTTGGCTTAACATTCAAAAACCAGTCATTGTAATTCACCATATTATTAGAATAAAGGAGAAAAGTCATGGAAAGACCAGTATATAGAGATATCATTTATCACCTTTTCTAGTCAATATTGTTTTGGAGTTTGGAGTATTCAGTACAATAATTCAAGGAAAAGAAAAGATAAGGATTAGGAAAGAAGAAGTATATAAGTGTCATCATTTATGGATGACATGATTATGTACTTAGAAAACTATTGGGAGTAATAAGTGACTTTAGCAAGTTTGCATGGTACAAAGTCATCAGTACATAGTTGTATTTTTATAAAGCAGCATTGACAAAAATTGAAATAACAATTTAAATTTATATCAACAAAAGATCAAATATGTAGGGATCAGTCTAACAAAAGATGTGTCTGACTCTGCATAGAAAACTGCATAGAGGGGAGCCTGGGTGGCTCAGATGGTTAAGCGTCTGCCTTCAACTCAGGTCATGATCCCAGGGTCCTGGGATCAAGTCCCGCGTCGGGCTCCCTGCTCCTTGGGGAGCCTGCTTCTCCCTCTGCCTCTCTCTCTCTCTCTCTCTGTCTGTCTCATGAATAAATAAAATCTTTAAAAAAAGCGCATAGAAAAAAAGATACTACAGAGGAAAAGAAGACCTAAATAAATGGAAATATATACTATTGTTCATGGGTTGGAAGATTCAGTACTTTGAAGATGTTAGATTTCTTGAATTGACCTATAGGTTTAGTGAAATCACAGTAAAAACCCCAGCAGGTTTTTTTTCCCTTTGGTTGAATTGACACACTGATTATAAAATCTATGTAAAAATTGAAAAAGCCTAGGGGTGCCTTGCTGACTCAGTGGAGCATGTGACCCTTGAGCTCAGGGTTGTAAGTTTGAGCCCTGATTTGGGTGTAGAGATCACTTAAAAAAAATAATAAAATCTTAAAAAAAAAAAAAGGAAAGAAAGGAAGGAAGAGCCCAAATTAGGACAATCAGAAAAATAACCATGTTATAGAAATTACTCCTCCCAGGGGTGCCTGGGTGGCTCAGTCAGTTAAGTGTCTGACTCTTGATCTCAGCTCAGGTCTTAATCTCAGAGTCATGAGTTCAAGCTGCACGCTGAGCGTGGAGCCTACTTAAAAAAAAAAAAAAAAAGTTATTCTTCCCAGATATAAAGACTTATTGCAAACTATAGTTATAATTTTAAAGTAGGGTGATATTGGTTCAAAGCCTGACAAATAGGATAATAAAACACTTCTAAAGTTCAGAAACAGATCCACACACATTGTGGGTTTT